ATAATATTGATGTAAGAAATTTGAGAGGTCAGTCTTATGATAATGCGTCGAATATGTCTGGTCGTTACAATGGTCTCCAGGCGCATATAAAGAAAATAAATCACCTCGCACACTACGTTCCCTGTGCAGCGCACTCACTGAATTTGGTTGGAGTACGTGCAGCGGAAAGCTGCGTTGGAGCAATCTCATTCTTCGGATTTGTATAGGCAATATACAACTTTTTTTCGGCATCAACTCATCGCTGGGCAATTATGCTCGAAAATCTTGAAAAACGTGATGAACGTAAGCATAATTCGTCATTGGTTCTGAAAAGTGTATCCGATACAAGATGGTGTGCAAGGGCCGATGCTACTAAGGCTTTGGCAACTGGTTACAACAGTTTTCAGAAAGCTTTGCAGTCTATTGCTAGCGATGAGACTCAGACATCACAAGCGATTCACGAAGCTAAATGTCTATTGAATGACTTAAGAAAAAAAGAAAATGCTGTAATGGCCGTATTCTGGGCTGCCATACTAGATCGGATCAATGGTGTCAGCATATCTTTACAAAAGAAAACAATTGAACTACGAACAGCAGTCGATCTTTTAAAATCGCTTTTAGATTTTTTAATTTCACAGAGAGATTTATTTGACGACTACGAGACTAAGGCAAATGAGAAAACTGATACTCAATACAGTGATGAGAATCAGCGTGAGCGAAAAAGGAAAAGGCATCACGATGACGGATCAGCAGAAGAAGTTGTGCTCAGAGGAAAAGAGAAGTTAAAAGTTGATACATATTTGCCAGTACTAGACATGTTATTTACAGAACTGTCGCGGCGCCTAGAAGCTTACCGGGAAATAAATGATCTGTTTGGGTTTCTAACAGATTTCTCGACAAAATCGGACGCTGAAATTAGACAGGCTTGTACAAAATTTAAGGATCATTATTTCGAGGACATTGAGCCTGAGTTTATAGACGAAATGGTGCAGTATAAATACTTCATCTTACAATTAGATGACGCCGGACAAAAAAATATGCCAGCCGAGGAGTCTTACAAACTGATTATTGGTAACATGGCACAGTCAACATTCCCGAATGTAATGACAGCTTTGCAAATATATAGAAGTCTCATGATTACAAATGCCACTGGTGAACGAAACTTTTCCAAATTGAAATTAATTAAAAACTGTCTTCGTTCAACGATGTCTCAAAACCGTTTAAATTCATTGGCTATAATGGCAATTGAAAATGACGTGTTGGAGAAGATTACCTTTCAGGATATCTTGAACGATTTTGTATCAAAAAAAGTTAGAAGAGTTAATATTTAAGCTATGTATGTTTTTTATAAATGCATAAATAAACATTCTGTTCATTTGATTCAACATTTTTATTGAATAATATGATGATATACCCAGGTTAGTAAAAAACGGTGTAATTTTGAATTTTGTTGTGTTAACGTAAAAATTAGAAGAGGGTAGGGGGCCCTGGATGAGCATTGCCTAGGGGCCCCGACAGGCATAACCCGGCCCTGCACACATCACACGAAAACATTACTTTTGAGAGTGCTCGATTGTGCGAAGCGTTGCTGTATGAAACATTCAGCGTTAAGCGTTATGCCGCATAATGCGCTCTAGTGCTGTAATTGGAAAACTACCATAATAAACATTATGAAACCGGTGTGCTTCTGACGCGCCACTATACGTAAATATGTTTCTGACTTTACATAGACATAATTCTGTTACCTGTGAAACGGGAAGAGTGAAAGAGAGAGAACGGAGGTCTTTTACCACTTTCTAATAGATTTATGATTTAATCATAGATAAAAACTACGCCTGTGAATCCAATAGTTATAATAATAAATGTAGGTTATCATGTCATGTCGTATAATGCGATTCAAATAAGAATAGGAAAGCCAATGACCTCCATCTGTCAAATGACGCTTGAAAAGTACGGTTTGCAAAAAATCTTGGAACTCTTTTTTAGCACTCAGCTAATTCTAGAATAAAAAAACCAAACATTTGTAAACAAACATGACGACGATGACAACTCCGGTAGTTATGCAGAGCTGAGCGGAATTGAAAAGCTAGATTCCGATTAATATTTTTACTCACACAGTCATAAATGTTATTAATAAAATCTGATGTTTTTCTCACGTAATCTTAGTAAATAAGTTTTATTTAAAAAAAAACTGATGTTTTTTCTCACTTAATCTTAGTAAATAAGTTTTATTTAAAAAAAAAACTGATGTTTTTTCTCACTTAATTATAGTAAATAAGTTTTATCAAAGAAAATCTTTTATTGCTCACTCTACCTATTTTGTTTCAATTGACAGCTTTGACATCACAAAATGGCGCCCAGTCGATGCTATTCTTAGTTGAATCGCTTAATTACATGATAAGTGCGAATTGCGAGGTGAACTCGCATAAGTAAACAGTGCTTTTACTATTTGCCTCGTCCATGCATCGCCTCACGATTCGCGTGCTCGCGTTGGGAGCGGTTTTTCAGACGCAAATCTAAGAGCACGAAATGGCGAATACGAACTGACTGTTTATGAACGCTATGATGACGCGACAGGTTCTTCGAATTTGTTGTGATCAGGATTTAATACAGAAATTCTGTTATTTTATACTTTCATAGAAAAAATCTAGATTCACAAAAGGACATTGTTCTGCGTCCATACATAGTCAGCCTAAGAACTAACGATCATGAAATATTATTTTCTAGGTTCGAAATCGCAAGTAAATGACTGATAAAACAAAGATTATTGACGGACACTTCCGAGCACTTAAATTATTAGGAAAAATAAATAATATAAATTATTAGGAAGAATATTTTTTTTGAGGTTATGTTTAATATTCAATGAAACATAGGTCAACCTATGAACTCAGTATGAACTCGGTATGAAGTGAATTAATATTACAACTAATTCATTTTATTCGGTGCAATTTTAAAGAATAACTATTAGGAAAAACTTGGTTAGGTAGGAATCATGTACAAAATAAAAACTGTAGTTTTGCTTCTTATTTATTGACTTTTTTTTACATAATTGTATCATATTGTATTTATTTGTATATCACATGTATATTGTGAAAATATGCAGCGTGAATGTGTATCAGGTGCTCTTGAATAATTTGGCAGTATGATCCTCTCAGGATGTTGTGCCACAGGTTCACTAGCACTTGGTAATAAGGTCTCTGCTCTTTGGTAACATCGATAGCATATTAGATAGCACACACAATATAAACACACACAACAGGTAATCCGAAACGAGAATGCAGGAATGCCACAGATTACTACGAATGCAAACTGCCTGCACCACAACCGCAAAGTATCGAGTTTTATGCCGGCCCTTCAATTGATAACAATTTGTCCTTGTCATGCTTAATAAGGAATGAAAAGGACAGACTGATGTCATGTTTTTAAACAGCAAAAACGAATAGCCAAGTGAAGTGCCGGCTTTAGGAAGAAAGAGTGTTTGTTTGCAGCGCTGTCATAAATTTTTACATATAAAATGGTATTTATTGCCTCAGATTATTTTTTTACTTTTTAATTTAGCTTACTTATCTGGAAGTGTCCGTCACAATCTAAATATTGATAATTATCGCAAAAAATATACTAAGAATTATCATAAATGCCAAATTGGTGTTGGTTCTTAGGCCAATTTTAACATTGTCCTTTCTAAATATTCAACTAAGAAAGTGGTTCCTGTATTTTGAAATATGCGCAATGTTTGTTAATTTAACGCATTTGAAGTAAATTTTTTTCTAAACTGATTTAATAGAAAATATTTGAGATATTCAAATGCATAGTCGGTTAAATAGCCGTCACTTATCCATGCGGTCCGGACCTGCCCCCCTAGCATGCTACGGGTGCGGCCAGAGTGCACTCAGATTCAGATTCCGAAAACAAGAAATGAAAAGAATCAGGAGTGCACTCTGGCCGTACCCTTCGACTACACTGTTTATTTCTCGCGCTTGTTTTCGGAATCTGAATCTGAGTGCACTCTGGCCGTACCCACACAAAACGCGATATGATAAAGCGATTTATCGACACTCAACTGTCAAACTCCATTGTAGTTTGACAGTAAATGTCGATAAAAGCGACTATCTTTTGGGAGTGTTGTGTTTCTGTTGGTAAGTAAAGTTCCAGGGCTCCACGGGGTCGGGGATTGGGTCAGGGTAGGCAACGGCGCGAGTGATAATATTTATGGTATCGCAAGAGTCTATAGGATATGGTGGCCGCTTACCATCACGCGGGCCATAAGCTTGTTTTCTACCCTATTTTCTTATTATTATTTCTTCTTTCCAACATATAAAAATATAGGTGTGTCGAAGAAAAATATTTGTCTAACAAGCAATGATGTATTAAGCGAACTAAAAAAATGTTCTTGTTAGAGTAAAGTTGGATAGTTGAAAGGACTTTTATAATGCACTAAAGGTACCCAGCGGTTATACTCGCACTTATTTGGGAAAAGGGCTATTGTTGGTCACCCTTTAAAAATATATGTGTTGCCATGGACTTTTCTATAGAACTTTTTCAATGAAACAATTTCTGCGTAGATGATTTTTGTGTTTACCGTTTACACGGAAGATATAAATATGATTTTGTTTCCGTTTTTGCAACATTTTTATCGATGCTCCACTCCTATTGGTCGAATCGTTATATATCGCCTATGGCCTTCCACAGTAAATGCCATCACAAACAGAAACTTTCCAAAGCGGATCAGTAAGTAGTTCCTGAGATTAGGTCAACAAACAAACCTTTTAGCGTTATGATATTTGTATAGATACAATTTTAATACATTCACATTGCTTGCAATCGCTTTATCATATCGCGTTTTGTTACTCATATTAGGGGGGCTGCTATATTGCTAACAGCGCATTCAGAATTGCGCGTAGTATTAAAGATATTATTATAAGGTCTACATTCTTCCGCATATAGCAATAAGTCGTAAAATTTAACGAGCTTGCATTTCGAACTGTCATTACTCTTTGACGCATATGTTTTAATTATGACCTTGTGGCGGCGACATCTATATGCCCCACATATTTACAACGGATGGAGGAAATCATTACTCACCATCCTCAAGAGATGGCGTTACCTGCACTGCGATCAATATTAGTATGGAAGCCTACATCGCGCAAATGAAATTCGAAGGCTAACTCTTCATATATACGATGCCCGACCAACATCAGTCGGGCCGCGGCCCCCGAGCTACCATCACCCAGCTCGGAGGAAGATCTTCCCCTTTGGCCTTCCTACAACCTTATACAGTATAAACTAAATTTGACTTTCAATCTTTAAATAATGCCTTATATGATTTTTGACAACGCAATCATCTTACGGAGCCCCGTGGATCGTCCAATGTACCTTTTGGACAGGTTTTGGTCACGATTTTGTTAGTGTTGTTGTATCTACGGTATTTAATATCCTTGAGTTTATGCAATAAAATACAACAAACGTAATAAATAGTTGATTATAAAATATTTTATTTCAAATTTACAAAAAATATAATATAAGTACTTATTATTAGACTTGCAACGAATAGTATATTCGGCAGTATACCGAATACCGAATATTCGGCGAGGCACCTGACCGAATAGCCGAATATTAGGCAAAAGTATTCGGCTGGATTATAGCGCCAAAAACTTGTACAGACGTGATTGTTTCGCGCTCCTTTGTTTTGTTCTAATCTGCCGTCCTCAAGCTAAAATGCGGCTAAATGACAAAACCAACTTTTGAGATATGGCCAAAAACGGCGCGTAAACTTAAAATTATTGCTATTATGTAACCATTCATCACATGACTAAATGAATTTAAACTGTTAACTTGTTAAATACAGAAAATGATTAAATTATGTACCTGTTTTATGTACAAATGACTACTTAATAAATGATTATAAAAGAAATGAGAACCTTACCCTTCTAAATTTTGATTAGGTTCCACAATTATTCAAATACAGGATTCTCCATTTTTCCAATTCAGAAGATGATTATGTACCAATGACTACTTAAATGATTATATACAGAAATGAAAATATGAATATTTTAATTTTTCATTTTACTAAATATTTCTCTATGACAAAATATATTATTTAAGTATTCGGTATTCGGCCGAATAATATGTAGATATTCGGTATTCGGCCGAATATAATAAAAGCAGCCGAATAGGCCGAACACCGAATAGTAACCGAATATTCGTTGCAAGTCTACTTATAATGAAAGAAATGCAAAGTGCACGTTATAACACATCCAACTCTTGTACTATGGTTATTTTCAAGTTGAACTCGGGCCAGAATAAAGTCAGAGGCAGCATTATCGGTTCTCTCTTTCGCTCCTCGTCGCCGCTGTCCGACTCCGAATCGGTTTCGGCCAGAGTCTCGAAGCTGGACACTTTCTTCGATATGTCCATCGCCAAATGTTTCGGTAACAGAATCTGAAATGAGAAAATTCCAAGATGATTATTATTGATGACTTACTACCTTTTATCTATTAGACAAGTCCGTCCGTCCGTCCGTGGTGCTGTTTCAGCGGCCAAACCGTAAGAGATAGATAAAGAGAATGTTTAAGTTATAAGCTGAGAATAGTCTGATAAGACTACAAACCGGATGTGAGTAACGTAGCACTTCCGGTTTTCGAGAAATCACGTGATTTCTATTTCAAACGAAACCACACAAAATCTCCGAAGTTCTCAATTAATTTAATACATTTTTTTTTTGTTGGTGAACATTTGGTTCACTGGTTTGCTAGTTTGTATTATAATGGTACTAGCAAACCAGTGAACCAAATGTTCACCAAAACCTGATTTCTCGAAAACCGGAAGTGCTACGTTACTCAAATCCGGTTTGTAGTCTTATCAGACTATTCTTAACTTATAACTTAAATATTCTCTTTATCTATCTCTTACGGTTTGGCCGCTGAAACAGCACCACGGACGGACGGACTTGTCTAATAGATAAGAGATTATCGTCTCTCCTTTTCATTCTGTAAAAAGAATGACAAGGATACACTGTTGTCAAATTTGTTAGGTTTAGAGAACTCTGCAAGAATCGACACCAAAATGTGTTCCAGCATAATAGAAATTGGTAGTTTTATTTTATTTTAATGACAATTTTTACTTGAAAGTAGGTATCGCCATTGTCAAAACTATTGGCAAGTACATTATCGTCATCATCATCAGTCTATTAAGGTCCCTACTTCTGGGGCACACAACAAATATTTTTTTTTCTGGTTTATTCATGCAATAGGGATGATGACTATTTTTTTTCTTCGTTTATCAGGTAGATTATCAAAAAGTATTGGACACGTATTTTTTCTTTTTTCACATAATATAAACATTGCAGAGATATATTGATTTGAAAAGTCGCATGACGTCACGTTTGAGTACACTTATAAGTGAAAATTCACTCAAAAGTGACGTCACGAGCCCCTACTCCCAAACTTTGACGCGCTATAACTTTGTCATTTTTTGGATGATTGCCCAAAGAAAAAATACGTGTCCATTATTTTTTGATCATCTAACTGACGCTAACGGACTAAATAGAAATTCGTTTACTGTACCCCGTCATCATCCCTATTGTATTTTTCTTAATAAATATAAATGGTACTTTTGTATGCTATGGTTGTGACTAAATAGGCTTAAGGCTACGTTTATATGTTTTGTCAACATCAACATTTCAATGTACCATGTTTAATGGCAAATAAAGAATTTGAAAATAAAAATGCTAGTGCATTCGCCCAGATTGCGAAGGGTGCGGGTTCGAGTCCCGTCCGCTGCCTGGTCCGCGTGGATTTTTTTCTAGTAAAACTTTTCTTTAGATTTAAACATCTCGCAGTTAAATGCTTAAAAAAATAGAAACATAGCTATAATTGCTATTTCTTCTTTCAAATGTTTAATACTTGAAAAAGTATTCATTTGACATTGTAGGTTACCTACAACGCGAAGAGGGCGCTGCCTTGCAGCTTAAGGCTAGGAAAATTTCGACGCGGCCATCAGGGCCGTGGTAGCATAATTGGTCAGTGCATTCGCCCGGATTGCGAAGGGTGCGGGTTCGAGTCCCGTCCGCTGCCTGGTCCGCGTGGATTTTTTTCTAGTAAACTTTTCTTTAGAATTTCATGATAGAATCGACACCATTGTCTAATATTAGCTGCTATGTTATTCCTATTTTTTGCACAATGCACTTATTATTTTTATGAGGCGCTCGATGGCGCAAGTGGTTAGCGCGTTCGGCTGCGATCGTTGAAGTTAGCAAACTTTCGCAGTGGTCGGCCATTGGATGGGTGACCAAAAATTTACTATCTCGAGCTCCTCCGTGCTTTGGAAGGCGCAAGTCATTAGCACCCACCAATCCGCACTGGGCCCGCGTGGTGGGTCATGGCCCAATCTCCCTATTCCAGCCAAGGGAAGGCCTGTGCCCCAGCAGCATGGGGACACTAATGAGCTGATGAAAATTCGAGTGTCATGAACTGTTTGTCGTCTTATTTACTAAAGCACGTATTGTTTCCTTAATCAGGTATTTGACAATATTAAAGATAAAGTGCCAATTGTTATCATCTGTGTTTAGAATGAATATTGACAGGGGTTTTTACTATTTTCACAAAAAAAATATTCATAATTTTAGCAAAAACCCATGAATAAGATTATAGTTTTCTTATCTATTGTCACTTGACCCAAAACGCTTGGCATTGACGGAGCCTAAAATGATGTCACACGCAAGTAAACTTCCGGTTAAAGTGACATTACATTGTATCGTTTGACGTTTTAATAACAGTCGTGTGACGTCACACACTAGTAAGACGCCATATTGTCCAGAGAAACGTTTTAGCGGCAACTTGAAAATGGAGTTTTTGATTTGGTTATTTTTTTGTTTTATAATATAGTCAAATATCTTCTCTGTTATTCCGCATTCCTCGACCTCCGTGGCCGAGTAGTTTGTACGCCGGGTTTCATGGCGTCGCCGACTCGAGAGGTCCCGGGTTCGAATCCCGGTGGGGGCAGATGTTTGTGTGATGAACACACATTTTTTTTTATTTCCGACACTCACACCAATTAGCCTAGCCCCAAAGTAAGCACTTTAAGGCTTGTGTTATGGGATACTAGGGTAACGGATAGAATACATATACAGTACATATATAAGTATATTTATATAGAAATACAAATTAAACATCCATGACTGGAGTACAAATGCTCGTATTCATCACACAAACATCTGCCCGCACCGGGATTCGAACCCGGGACCTCTCGAGTCGGCGACACCATGAAACCCGGCGTACAAACCACTCGACCACGGAGATCGTCAAATTGGTGTGAGTGTTGGAAATATTTATTTACTAGCTGTGCCCCGCTGTGTTACCCGCGGTTTATTAGAGATATTTTCCCGCAGTAAAACGTAGCCTATGTATTAATCTAGGGTGTCAGCTAACGCCATACCAAATTTTATTAAAATCGCTCCAGCCGTTTAGACGTGAAGAAGTAACAAACATACACACTCACAAACTTTCACCTTTATAATATTTGTAGGGGTGACCCCCTACATAATGATATTAGGATGAAGGAAGGAAGACAACTGTTACTGTTGAATGCATGATGAGCATTGATTTATTAAGAAAATAAATGTTTTTATATACCTAATACAATGACGTAATATGATGCATTTCTTAGATACATCTACGTGATTAAAGTAGGTTATGCTTGCTCTACAGATATACAAGATTACTGTACGTGACTCGTACAATATTTATTTATTTATTCGTCATTGACCCTCATTTCAACAGTTACCTGCATCCACTGTCCTCTCGCCGCGTAGGGCTGATGGTTGGTAGGAATTGCCCCCGGGAGCCCGGGCGGCAGGACGGTAACCGCGCGGGACCCGCACCGCCACGTGAAGTGACGCCCGTGGAGGACACGACCGCTACGATATTGTATGATTATTATGTGTAATATAATGTACTAGCAAACCAGTGAACCAAATGTTCACCAAAACCTGATTTAAAAAAATGGGTGCGTGTACTTATGTAGGCGCGTGAGAAGTTATCCTTCTTTGGCATCGTTTAAAATTAGTTTTTAATTGCATGCAAATAATTAATTACAATAAATTAATAATAAATGACATTTCATTTCATTTCATTTCTTTTCATATCACATCATTTCATTTCATTTCATATCACATCACATCATTTCATTTCATATCATTTCATTTCATATCATTTCATTTCATATCATTTCATTTCATTTCAATGTCCCGTTCAAATCTGCCCTGTTTGCTTTGTTCAAATCTGCCCCACGGTCACTTGGAAAATAAAATTTTACAAATAACGCGCCCGCGGCTAACTTCATTATGTTAAAATTTTGTGTTACAGTGATGAAAATTTCACTCTCATAATTTTTTCATAACGCGGCTAAAGAAGTATAACTTCAAAAAAAATTTTAGTAAATAAGACGGCAAACAGTTCAATGACACTGAATTAAATGAATGCAAACACATAAATTACATAAAAGGTTTCATAACTTAAGAACAATATCTGCTTAAATATAAATTGCACGCGCAGGAGTGCTTGATAAAACCAAAAAAAGTATCGCGTCCCGGTAACGGATACCAAACTATCCTATTTTAATCATTATTATCGCAATAGCGTGCCGGCCTTACGCCTCTATTTAGCCGTAGGGGCAGTCTACGGGCGTTGTCTGTGGGCGAGAGGACTGTGTTACGGTTAGTACCACCGTCCTCTAAGAGATGGCTCTGCCGGTTCCCTATAAAATGTATTTAATTAATTGAAAACTTCGGAGATTTTGTGTGGTTTTGTTTGAAATTCGTGATTTCTCGAAAACCGGAAGTGCTACGTAATAACTTAAACATTCTCTTTATCTATCTCTTACGGTTCGGCCGCTGAAACAGCACCACAGACGGACGGACTTGTCTAATAGATAAGAGATTGTAATTGTGTTGACATAATGAAGAAAAAGCTATTAAATTAGAAAATTTGACATGTATTAATTGAATAAATAAAAATAAAATAAATAATAAATTTGACATTTGGGATGCAACTATTACTCAATTTAAATTTGAATTTTTAAGATAATTTATTAGTATTTTGTATGCTCTACCAAAGGCGAAACATATGGAACTATTTATATATTACCAGCTGTAACAAACTATGTTTCATGCAAATAAACTTTCATTTCATTTCATTTCATACGAGACAAAAGATTAGCTTATATTAATATTAGGGTTAGGATAGAAAAATAATTAGAGAGATCATTGTAGACCCCATCTCAAATCCCTCCTAAAATGTCCCACCAATAACACAGTACATGCCGTCCGCCTGTGGAATTCGCTGCCAGCAGTAATTAGAGATTCCAGTTCTATCTCGGTGTTTAAAAAGCGTCTAAATAAATAATAATAATAATAATAAAACTCTTTATTTTACACCACAAAAAAAAATATATACAAAACATACATAATGGCTGCTTAAAGTGTAAAAATGGGCGGTCTTATCGCTAAGAGCGATCTCTTCCAGACAACCTTGGGATGGAGAGGACAAGAAAAAAGCTGGAAAGACGGCGGTGTAATTAACTGCAATAATACAATCTATGTACAAACCGAGTATATAAACACATATAAATACATAGATATACATAAATACACTCATACATACATAGGTAAATAGATACATATATATATATATATATATATTTACATACTAAAAAATACATAAGTATGTACCATACATAAGTCTAGTTCGGTGAGAGGAAATAAATACAATAGAAGAGCTATAAGGACAAATAGTGAGATTTTAGAAGGTTTTTGAATCTGTGCAGAGATTCTGCACGTCTAATGGAAACTGGAAGCGAATTCCATAGGCGAACAGCTTGCACTGCGAATGAGCGGCCATAAAAAGTTGTTCCGTGCACAGGTGAAATAATGTTTATCTTCATGCCCTTACTTTTTCCATTGTTTCTTTTCCCCTCTTTTTGTCCATAATATATGTATACGTATATTTATGTATCTCTATCTATTAGACAAGTCCGTCCGTCCGTCTGTGGTGCTGTTTCAGCGGCCTAACCGTAAGAGATATATAAAGAGAATATTTAAGTTATAAGTTAAGAATAGTCTGATAAGACTACAAACCGGATTTGAGTAACGTAGCACTTCCGGTTTTCGAGAAATCACGAATTTCAAACGAAACCACACAAAATCTCCAAAGTTCTCAATTAATTAAATACATTTTTTTTTTAAATCATGTTTTGGTGAACATTTGGTTCAATGGTTTGCTAGTATATCTACTATTATAAGTATTAGTACCTATGTATAATTGTGTATGTCCCCTATTCTTAAGTATTTAACGTATATCATCATCATCATCATCAGCCTATTAATGTCCCCACTGCTGGGGCACAGGCCTTCCCTATGGATGGAATAGGGAGATTGGGCCATGACCCACCACGCGGGCCCAGTGCGGATTGGTGGGTGCTAACGACTGCAAATGCAGCCGGGACCAACGGCTTAACGTACCTTCCGAAGCACGGAGGAGCTCGAGATAGTAAATTTTTGGTCACCCATCCAATGACCGACCACTGCGAAAGTTGCTTAACTTCAACGATCGCAGCCGAACGCGCTAGCCACCTGCGCCATCGAGCTCCTCCTTCCTCCTTAACGTATATATTTAATCATAATTAGGTGTACACGCTGACTGGCTTTTCAATGTGCTTTCCTACAATGGGCCTGCTGAAAGAAATTTCAGATTGAAATAAGCTGTGCCCTTGTACTATTATCTTATTTTGTAATCTCTTTCTATTTACATTTGTGTGTACAAAATGTATAAATAAATAAAATAAATAAAAAAAATGGATGCGTGTAACTTCTGTACGCGCGTGAGAAGTTATACTTCTTTAGCATCATTAAAAATATAATTGCATGCAAATAATTAATAATTACAATAAAATAATAAAAGGACTGGAAAAGTATAGTTAACACAGTCAATTAAGTTCAGTTTTAATTTGAAAAATTAAATAAATATTCAATTAAAATCACTACTGATCTTAAGTTATTAGTCCATATGTAATTAGCACTTGTAAGTAACTAAAACACGTTGTGTCTATATAGAAACTAGAAACATGTGGATAAATATTATAAATATGAAAACAGTGATCAGAGGCGACGAGCGTGCCAACATTGTTTTTGACAACGCGATCATCTTATGGAGCTCCGTGGATCGTTCAAAGTACCTTTCGAACAGATGTCTAATAATGGTGGATTATTAACCACTAAGTGGTTAATAATCCACCATTATTAGATACTAACATTCATAACGCGCCCGCGGCTAACTTTATTATGTTACTTTTGTGTTACAGTGATGCGCGCGCATCTTAAAATTTCACTCTAATAATTTTTTCATAACGCGGCTAAAGAAGTATAACTTCAAAATTAGTAAAAATTAAAATGAAATGAAAAGTCATTTATTCAGTCTAGGCTGTTACAAGCACTTGTGAATGTCAAGAAGCTACGCCATCGGTTCGCAAATCTATGCTAGTATAGATTAATGAACTCACTCTATGGCTAGAGGCAGTAAGCTGGCTCCTTCTGCGTTCAATATTAAATGTACCCCGGGATAGTACTCAATGTCGTCTTCTCCACGCCAAGAACCCTGCAATTACATACAAATCAATTAATAATTATATTTAGCATAGCGTCACTATACATATCTCACGTCACAAACAAAAGGGTATTATCTTCAAAAACAGTGTTATGAGATATCGCGTTTTGAAGTTATCAAAAATCATAGAAGCGGAACTACTTGTTCAAATGTTTAAAATGATAACTTGATTTGAACGTACATTATCCTTCTTTGTGTTGAGTAAGTTGTTCATAATCACAATTATAAATTTTGCCTAGTGATTGACGATATGTGTTGCTATAATTCAAAAACTATTTCGAATCAAAATACAATTATCTTACCAGTTTATAGAGAAAACAATGTAGTTTTCAAAACGCAAATAAAAAAATAAATGGTTTTGCCGACTTAATACCCTATTGTTTGTGACGTGCGACATACGAAAATTTATTACTTGTAAGTAAAAATATTAATTTATTTCATAAAAACAGTGATGTTCACACACTTAATACAAGAAACAAAAATAAACTAACTTTACCTGCTACTAGGCTTCACAAAATCAATAATTCATTTAAAGGTGTTTGTGTTCGCTTATACAATAAAGTTCCAAGCAATATTCAAGAGTTAACCATAAATAAATTCAAAGATAGTATAAAAAAAGCTTATTACAAAGTGTCTGATTATATTACAGACAAAAATGCTTGGGTTTGAACTGTCCCAATCATTCCAACAGGTTTTCTATATTAAATAAATCATGATTGTATTGACGTTGTAATAACAAAATTAATGTTGTGGAGTTTTTTTTCGCTCTTTTTCTCCGCAGCTAAAAAATACGTCCATACCGAGTGGCAGGGAAAATTTTTTTTTGGACGATTCCTTCTCCCTATTTCATCCATAGGGAAGGCCTGTGCCCTAACAGTGGGGACATTAATAGGCTGATGATCAGAGTACCCTGCCAGACTCGACACCTGTATATACATACCGTTTGTGCTAGAAATCTTAATTTTTTATATTCATTATACCTGCATCACTTCCGGTATCCTGGGCAGTGCTCGCTCCATACTCGACATCTCAAAACTATCCGTAGACATGTGCCCTGTAAAATAAATAGTACAATAAATAAATAAATATTTCCAACACTCACACCAATAGGGGTGATGACGGGGTATAGTAAACGAAATTCTATTTAGTCCGTCAGTTAGATGATCAAAAAATATTGGACACGTATTTTTTCTTTGGGCAATCAATCGAAAAATGACAAAGTTATAGCGCGTCAAAGTTTGGGAGTGGGGGCGTCACTTTTGAGTGAATTTTCACTTATAAGTGTACTCAAACGTGACGTCATGCGACTTTTGAAATCAATATATCTCTGCAATGTTTATATTATGTGAAAAAAGAAAAAATTCGTGTCCAATACTTTTTGATAATCTACCTGATAAACGAAGAAAAAAAATTAGTCATCATCCCTATTAGCCTAGCCCCAAAGTAAGTCTTTTGTTATTGGATACTAGGGTAACGGATAGAATACATATATTGTACATCATCATCATCATCATCAGCCTATTAATGTCCCCACTGCTGGGGCACAGGCCTTCCCTATGGATGGAATAGGGAGATTGGGCCATGACCCACCACGCGGGCCCAGTGCGGATAAGCGGGTGCTAACGACTGCAGGTACAGCCGGGACCAACGGCTTAACGTGCCTTCCGAAGCACGGAAAAGCTCGAGTTGGTATATTTTTGGTCACCCATCCAATGACCGACCACTGCGAAAGTTGCTCAACTTCAACGATCGCAGCCGAACGCGCTAACCACCCGCGCCATTGAGCTCCTCATATATTGACATATATAAGTATATTTATATAGAAAAACATATTAAACATCCATGACTGGAGTACAAATGCTCGTATTCATCACACAAACATCTGCCCCCACCGGGATTCGAACCCGGGACCTCTCGAGTAGGCGACACCATGAAACCCCGCGTATAAACCACTCGGCCACGGAGGTCGTCTCTACAATTTTGTCTGTAACTCAATGAAACAAAAACTACTGAATGGTTTAACTAAAAATTAACGCGAACAAAGTCGCGGGAGGCCACTTGTTTATAACAATATGAATACAACAAGAAATAGGAATGATGACTAAATTTTTCTTCGTCGTTTATCAGGCAGATTATCAAAAAGTATTGGACACGTATTTTTTCTTTTTTCACATAATATAAAACATTGCAGAGATATATTGATTTGAAAAGTCGCATGACGTCACGTTTTGGTACAATTTTCACTTAAAAGTGACGTCACGAGCCCCCACTCCCAAACTTTGACGCGCTATAACTTTGTCATTTTTTGGTTGATTGCCCAAAGAAAAAATAAGTGTCCATTATTTTTTGATCATCTAACTGACGGACTAAATAGAATTTCGTTAACTGTACCCCGCCTCATCATGCCTATTGAATACGTAAAATATTTAAAGAAAAATTCTATAAATTTAAACATTTAGCAGTTAAATGATTAAAAGATTAAAATATAACTATAATTGCTATTTCTTCTTCCAAATGTTTAATACTTGTGAAGGTATTCATTTGAAATTGTGGGTTATCTACAATGCGAAGAGATGGCGCTGCCTTACAGCCTAATAAACACTATAGCAAATTCGACACGACCGTCAGGGCCGCGATAGCATAATGGTCAGTGCATTTGCATGGATAGCAAAGGAGCGTGGATTTTTTTCTAGTCCAACTTTATTTAGGATTAAACATCTAGCAGTTAAATGCTCAAAAAATAAAATCATTTTTTTTATCATTTTTAAAGCATGTAACTGCTTGATGTTTAAATCTAAAGAAAATATAACTAGAAAAAAATCCACGCGGACCAGGCAGCAGACGGGACTCGAACCCACACTCTTCGCAATCCGGGCGAATGCACCGACCAATTATGCTACCGCGGCCTTCACGGACCGCGTCGGAATTCTTCTAGACATTCTTAAGCTGCAAGACAGCGCCAGCTCTTCACATTATAGGTAACCCACAATAGGTGGGTCCGCGTGGAATTTTTTCTAGTTATATTTTCTTTAGATTTAAACAATTTTTGAAGTTATACTTCTTTAGCCGCGTTATGAAAAAAATATGAGAGTGAAATTTTAAGATGCGCGCGCATCACTGTAACACAAAAGTAACATAATGAAGTTAGCCGCGGGCGCGTTATGAAAAAATGATGAGAGTGAAATTTTAAGATGCGCGCGCAACACTGTAACAGGAAAGTAACATGAAGTCGGCTGCTAAACCGCACATTACTCGTAAGTCTCGAAAAAAAGCTTCCAACAAAATAGTAATAGGATCTCTTAGTCGCACATGTTGGGACGCTCGTCGCCTCTGATCACTGTTTTCATATTTATAATATTTATCCACATGTTTCTAGTTTCTATATTCTTAACACGTGTTATAATGTTATACAAATGCGAAATTTATATGTGCTAATAAATTTTATTCAGTAGTGATTTAAATTGAATATTTTGATTATTTATTAAATTTTTCAAATTAAAACTGAACTTTATTGACTGCGTTGACTATCCTTTTCCAATCCTTTTATTATCTTATTGTAATTAATTATCTGCATGCAATTAAAAACTATTTTTTAATAATTCCAAAAAGAAGTATAACTTCTCACGCGCGTACTTAAGTACACGCACCCATATTTTTTTTTATATATTTTGCATATAAATATTGTCTCACCCTCAGGGCCGCTTCTGTCTATGCTCATGGTGCTCAGCCCCCTTTGAAGGGTATCTTTAATCTCTTGCTCGACGGTGGGTGACAGCCCTGGGGACGAAGGGCTGTCACCGCTGCTAGACTGTTACAGAGAAAAATTAAATTATATAAAGTGTAGGCAATTTAATCGGTAGAGAGAAAAAAAAAAGTTTAGTTATATTTAGAGAGGATACTAACGTTATCTTTATTTATATAATTCTTCTGTGAGTGTGTATGTCACTGAACTTCTCTTAAACAACTGGACCGATTTTGATGAAATTTTTTGTGTGTGTTCAAGGGGATCTGAGAATGGTTTAGATTCACAAAGACGTGTAGACAGGACAACGTCTGTCGGGTCCGCTAGTAGTTTTATATTATACTAGCTGTGCTCTGCGGTGTTACCCGCGGTTTATTATGGGGTTTTTCCCGCAGTAAAACGTAGCCTATGTGTTAATTCAGGGTGTCAGCTAACTCCATACCAAATTTTATTAAAATCGCTCCAGCCGTTTAGACGTGAAGAAGTAACAAACATACACACTCACAAACTTTCGGCTTTATAATATTACTGTGACTAGCTGACCCAGCGAACTTCGTACCGCCCTAAAAAAATAGGGGTTGTCCAGCGGACAAAATTGTGAATCTAAACCATTCTCAGATCCCCTTGAACACACACAAAAAATTTCATCAAAATCGGTCCAGTCGTTTAAGAGAAGTTCAGTGACATACACACTCACAGAAGAATTATATATATATAAAGATTTTTAATATATTTACATAAACAATAAAAGCCAGGCTTGTCAGAAACTGTTAAAATAGTGTTAAGGTTAACGGGACGCTGAGTTTTGGGCGGAAGTAGAGGATATAGAGACGGGTGTTTCTGACAGTTAAAGAAAATGTGGTCTGTGGTGCCTTCTTCAAGACCGCATTCGCAGATAGAGTAGAGCAGATAGAGTAGAGCAGATAGAACGGAAACAGCCACAGAAAAAAAAAAAAAAGCGAAAAATTAAGTAAATTAAATAAAACTAGTTTATACGGGTTAATGCACGAAACTTTATTTATTTATGACGTTTCGCAGCCTTTTCAGGTCTGCATCGTCAGAATAATCGTCAGAATCATTATTCTGACGATGCAGACCTGAAAAGGCTGCGAAACGTCATAAATAAATAAAGTTTCGTGCATTAACCCGTATAAACTAGTTTTATTTAATGAGTGATGTACGTGAAAACCTAAGAAACAAATTAAGTAAATTAGTATAGAAATAAGAAAAAATCCTAGATATATCATGTTAAAACTACAGGGTGTAAAAAAACCTTTAACGAAGTCAAAGGCCACGTATTTTCCACATCATGACGATAATTTTTTTTCTTCTGGACCATACCCGGGAAATTTATGGTTATGGAGATATTGAAGGTCGAAGTCAAAATTTTATTTCCAAGATTTATTTTTTTGAAACAATTTAAGTACCTACAGAATATTAAAATTTGCCCAGTATTTTACAACTAGCAAACCAGTGAACCAAATGTTCACCAAACCCTGATTAAAAAAAAAAAGTATTTAATTAATTGAGAACTTCGGAGATTTTGTGTGGTTTCGTTTGAAATTCGTGATTTCTCGAAACCCGGAAGTGCTACGTTACTCAAATCCGGTTTGTAGTCTTATCAGACTATTCTTAACTTATAACTTAAATATTCTCTTTATCTATCTCTTACGGTTTGGCCGCTGAAACAGCACCACAGACAGACGGACGGACGGACGGACTTGTCTAATAGATAAGAGATGAATGATTTCGAACACAATTAGCATTTTCTCATTGCTGGGCGTTTTAGGGCATTCAATGTATGGGGAATGAGCAATGTCCTTTACAATCCTTTGGACTCATAGGGTCGAATAGACTTAGATTATAACAAAAAGGGTAGATACGGCACTAGCCTCACGAAAGTGATCCGCATGAATAGGGGTGATGACGGGGTACAGTAAACGAAATTCTTTTTAGTCCGTCAGTTAGATGATCAAAAAATAATGGACACGTATTTTTTCTTTGGGTAATCAACCAAAAAATGACAAAGTTATAGCGCATCAAAGTTTGGGAGTAGGGGCTCGTGACGTCACTTTTGAGTGAATTTTCCCTTATAAGTGTACTCAAACGTGACGTCATGCGACTTTTCAAATCAATATATCTCTGCAATGTTTATATTATGTGAAAAAAGAAAAAATACGTGTCCAATACTTTTTGATAATCTACCTGATAAACGAAGAAAAAAAAATTAGTCATCATCCCTATTGTGGTCCACTACCCTAATCGCTTTAGTCACAACTTGACAGGCGAACGACGTACATGTGAACGCCAAAAAGAAATATTGCTAATATTTTGTGTTTATATGATATAACAATGCCTAAGTGTGTTTTTAAAAAATGCTCAAATTGCTCAAGTACTAAGAATAACACCCACAGCATCACTTTTCATTCGTAAGTACTATAAAATATATGTTTTCATAAAAATTGCTGTTTGTTTTGAATCTTATTCGGTAGTGACGTCGAGTACTGGTCGCGTGATTGGTCGGTAGTGCAGTGACGCGGATCTCGCCGTTTCGTTCGCGCTACCGTGGGATCAGTTTTTGTTTGTTGCTTTTTATTACAAGCTTTTTACAAGTTACAAGCTTTTATTTAACTTGCTATGTATGTTTGTTACGGTCAAATCTTACAACTCAATTTTAAAGCACTTGCCCTCAACCGATTAAGCTGAAATTTGGTATGCTCGTTCAGTTCGGATAACAATGCACGATTAACAGTGTGACTTCATTCTAAATCCAATATGGCGGCATACCCAAAATGGCGGACCAATCATTTTTAATGCATTCCTACAATATGGGTATCAAATTAAAGGGCTTGCTGAGAGTAACTCGAAGAAAATGTGACGTCACTCTCAATCCAATATGGCGGACTTCTAAAATTTGAAAATCTATTTAGAAACAGATACCTTTAACTAATTTAGTTGAAATTTTTTAAACGCGTTCAGTTTGTTTGACAATGCATAGTTAATCGTGTGACGTCATTCTAAATCCGAGATGGCGGAACACCCAAAATGGCCGACATTTTTTTTTCTTTTTAGCGCATTTGAATAAAAGCTTGTTTTCAAAAAGGTTTTTTTAACCTTTATTGTTTTAATCTATGCGAATAGACAACTGACCTGTGTATCGGGCAGGGCGTGGTAGTTGAGCGCCGCGGAGACTCCGGCCAAGTGAGCCGGGCCGGAGCGCCCGCGGCCCGCGCCCCCGCCCCCGCCCCCGCCCCCGCCCCCGCCCCCGCCCCCGCCCCGCCTGCGGAGCCCCCGCGCCGAGCCCCCGCGGGACACGCGCGTCACTAGCCAAGCGCCCGCGCCGCATCTATACGACCACGATCACTCATATTTATTGAAGTGAAACTTCTTTATCGGCGTTGGAAAAAAATTTACCGTCAAATTTTTCGGTTACGCGTCACATTTTTTTTGGTAATAACAACGACGATGAACATATAAATGAAATGAAATGAAATCTTGTTTGTATTCATGTCTATGATAATAAAATCCTTTTGTTTATACTTTATCTAATTTAACTTTATTTAACCAATTTCTGGAAAGTTGCATGTAGATCATTTTTCGAAAAATAAGGCCATAAAGAAGTTTCACTTCTTACGCGTGTACACTAGTACACGCACACATTTTTTTATTTATTTTTTCCAACACACCAATTAGCCTAGCCCGAAAGTAAGCACTATAAGGCTTGTGTTATGGGATACTAGGGTAACGGATAGAATACATAAACTGTACATATATAAGTATATTTTTTTTTATAGAAATACATATTAAAAATCCATGACTGGAGTACAAATGCTCGTATTCATCACATAAACATCTGTCCCAACCGGGATTTGAACCCGGGACCTCTCGAGACGGCGACACCATTAAACCCGGCGTACAAACCACTCGACCACGGAGGTCGTCAAACCTCCTCAGGTACTCATATGGGTATTCACTCAGTACCCTTAGTACGAGTTTGAGCTCACGAAAACTATCATAGTTTTACTAGAAAAAAATTCACACGGTCCTGGCAGCGGACGGGACTCGAACCCGCACCCTTCGCAATCCGGGCGAATGCACTGACCATTATGATGATGAATGTTTGTGTGATGAACACGAGCATTTGTACTCCAGTAATGCATGTTTAATATATATTTCTATGTACATATACTTATATATGTACAGTATACAGAGGCGGGGTAAGGTTACGTAGGCCGCCACAAAAAAAAATATGCATTGCCTAAAAGCGATTTTTTTTATAAAAACCGTCTTCAGGACGCCACAGAACAGGGCCTCGCGAAATGTGTCTTGCCCCGCCACTGACAGTATATGTATTCTATCCGTTACCCTAGTATCCCATAATACAAGCCTAAAGTGCTTACTTTGGAGCTAGGCTAATTGGTGTGAGTGTTGGAAATATTTATTATTTATTTATTTCTTATTATTATAAAATGGCCGCGGTAGCATAATGGTCAGTGCATTCGCCCGGACAGCGAAGGTGCGGGTTCGAGTCCCGTCTGCTGCCTACTAAGCGTGGAATGTTTTCTAACATAAAATTTCTTTAGATTTATACATATAGCAGATAAACGCTTAAAAAATAAAAAAAATAACTATAAAAGAATATACCTAGGATCCTCCCCAATCAGTTTGAGTACGTCTGTACAGGAACCTCGCTGGGCAGCCCTTAATTCCCTGCCTGTGCACCCGACGACCTGCAGAAATTACAAAACATATAAATAACGAATTTTAAAAGAAGTTGGCATTAATATTTGTTTCTTAGGTTTTCACGCACATCACTCATTAAATAAAACTAGATTTTTAAAATTAATTTTATAAAATTAACTAGCGGCCCGCCCTCGCTTCGCTTCGGTGTAGACTACAGTTTTTGTTTTCAGGCTTATATTATACACAATGACTTTCATCTATGATTCTTCTTATACCTGCATGCAAAGTCTCAGCCCGATCGGTTTAAAATTGACAAAGTTTCATACAAACATTGATTCCCTATTTTATCCCCTTGGGGGTAGAATTGATCAAAATCCTTTCTGAGCGGATGCCTACGTCATAACATCTACCTGCATGCCAAATTTCAGCCCGATCCGTCCAGTGGTTTGGGCTGTGCGTTGATTGATCACTATGTCAGTCAGTCAGTCACCTTTGAGTTTTATATATTATTATATAGATTTAAAAAATCTTCCAATGAAATAACCGAACGCTCAATAAAAGTCTTCCGAAGGTAGCTCGACAAAGTAAATAAAAAATTATTATTCTGACGATGCAGACCTGAAAGGCTGCGAAACGTTAATAAATAAATAAAGTACGTGCATTAACCCGTTAAAACTAGTTTTATTTAAGTTTGCATTGACTTCTAGAAGTTAATACTGGTGTCAACTCTGGCAGGACTCCCTAAACCTAAACTTAAATTTGACAACAGTGTATCTTTGCCACTCTAGAATAGAATAATATTTTATCTGCGATTAAACAGGGTTATCAAGGTCAAATAGTCACACATAACCATACTGTAGGTTTCACCTATTCAGCTATACACTGTAGCATGCAAATTTACATAAGTTTTTTATCAAATTAATTAATACTATGTCACATAATTGAGAATAATAATTATTTAACCCGTCACAGAATAAGTAGTCAAAGAAAATGGTCATATTTAAAATGTGAATCAAAAATATAATCAAATCAGTATATGTCACTAAAAATCTCTTCCATCAAAATTAATATTACTTATATATAAGCTATTATAATTCAAGAATTCTTGGACCGAGTAGAATTTACGGTCAATCAGCCATCTAATCTGTGTAGAGAGTAAATTTTTGGTCACCCATCCCATGACCGACCACTGCGAAAGTTGCTTAAATTCAACGATCGCAGCCGAACGCGCTAAACACTTGCGCCATCGAGCTTCTTGTGCACTTACTCTAAAAGTAACTTGAGCAAGATGTTTCTCATCATTTGAAATCATTATAAATGATTTTCAATCATCTTCGTTACGTTACGTTAGAGATGACTGAAATTATCTCTACTCCTACATAATAATGCTCGTTGTTGCTATTCCGGTCAAAAACTTTTAAAAACACATTAATTAGCCTAGGACCAAAGTAAGCACACACATATACTAGGGTAACGTATAGAATACACTGTACATATATAAGTATACTTATATATAATTACATATTAAACATATTGTGGGAAGGCCAAAGGGGAAGATCTTCCTCCGAGCTAGGTGATGGTAGCTCGGGGGTCGCAGCCCGTCTGATGTTGGTCGGGCATTGTATATATGAACTGTTCGCCGCCGAATTTCACTTGTGCGATGTAGGCTTGCATACTATTTGAGTGCAGCGCCGGTAGCGCCATCTCTTGAAGAGGCGAGTGATTAATTCCTCTATGTTGGTTATATGTGGGGCATATAGATGTCGCTGTCATAATATAATAATAATTATTATTATAATTCCACTCACCTGTATAAACTCGACGGTTCCGTGCGGTGTGTCTATGGCCTTCAACTGGGGATCTGCAGCCACGAGCAGGTGTCGAACCCGCGCCTTCTGGTTAGCCTGCCCGTCTAGGGAAGCGTGCCAGCTTATGTGGTCGCCGGCGCAGAACTTGTTACCTATACCACATAATATGTCATGATATAGTATTTTTATTTATTTAATCTTTAATGGCTTTACATTGCATATGGCCGACTTAATGCCAGCATGGCATTCTCTACCAGTCAACCGGAAAGAACGTGCAGAGTCAATAAAACTGCAAACAATCATAGGAAAGAGCAAACATGAAACAATGAAAAAACAAAATTAAATAGCGTTTAATACATACACATATATATACATACAAACATAAATATACATACATACACACACATTTATACATAATATAGTGTCCAATTTTAGTATCCTGATTCAACTTAAGCACTTTGCATATAGTAAATTCTAAGTAAAACTTAACTTTAACTAGTGTATTGTTACTCACACCCTTAGATTAAAACATAAGGGAAGATACGGTACGCTCATACTAGCATCAAATAAAATATGCTCCGACTCAACTAAGTAACTCTCACACACGCACACGTCTGTAAATAACATTCAATCGAGCGAGCGAAACGAAACTGTACGCTTTAACGCAGCGCGAGCGAAACGGCGAGTCCGCTTCCGAGTCCGCACGGCTGAGCTGTATTGTTGTCCTTTCCTTGATAACAAAATGGCGATTACGTAAAAAACTTTCACGAAAAACCGTAGTTTTTAAAAAAACAAATGTTTTTACAGTTTTACGAATGAAAAGTGTTGCCGAGGCATTTGTTATTTGATTTTGAACTATATTTATGTTCTTTATAAAAGCATCGAAGGCATTGTTTAGTCTCTATAACACAGAATATATGCAATATTGTTATATTGACTGCACATGCAGCGTGTTTGAATGTCCAATTGTGACTAAAGCGAATTGGGGTCATTCACCATAATTTAAGCGGATCACTTTTGAGCCGCGAGAGGCGTATCTTCTATTTTTGTTATAATCTAAGCTCACACTATGTTATGTTAAAATCATAATATTATGGTAATAGCAATATTTTCTTTCTTCGCCGTTACGCAAAAATAATACACGTAATTAATATATGGGTCGTTCCACTAACGTTTAAAACCAAGAATACGGTATTTGACAAGTTTTAGAAAACGATCTCACGTGATTGAATAATGATTATAGAGTGTGTAAAAAGTGGTTATTCATCATTCTGTTGTGTATTTCAGTAAAAATAACCAAATCAAAAACTCCATTTTCAAGTTGTCGTGAAAACGTTTCTCTGGACAATATGGCGTCTTACTAGTGTGTGACGTCACACGACTGTTATTAAAACGTCAAACGATACAATGTAATGTCACTTTAACCGGAAGTTTACTTGCGTGTGACGTCATTTTAGGCTCCACCCATCCCAAGCGTTTTGGGTCACGTGACAATAGATAAGAAAACTATTATCTTTTTCGTGGGTTTTTAGTAAAATTATGAATATTTTTTTTTTGTAAAAATAGTAAAATCCCCTGCCAATATTCATTCTAAACACAGATGCTAACAATTGGCACTTTATTTTTAATACTGTCAAATACCCTATTGCACGAAAGATGTTACACATCAATAATCTTACCCGTGGTAAAAATGTATCTCGCCAGCGCTTGCAGTAAAGCCGCGGGCCACAGCGGGGGCTGCGCCACACCAGCGTCGGCCGCCAGGCGGAGGGTCAGCTCCAACCCGTAGCCCGACCACGGGGAGCCCAGCGGGTGCACGCGCCCGTCGCCGTGCAAGTCCGATAGCCCGAAACTGACCGAGATACCGCACTTTTACGCTACCATAAAATTGCTATGCCCTTGCAGGGCGTCACGTGTTATAAAACCTTTTGTACCCCAAATATCATGTACACACTTGTGATATGCAATAAAGTTTATTATTATTATTATATACAATAGAATCTTCAGTCTATTAACATCCCCACTGCCTTTCTTTGACGACCTCCGTGGCCGAGTCGTTTATGCGCCGGGTTTCATGGTGACACCGCCGCGAGAGAAGTTCGAATCCCGGTGGTATATATAACACGTTTTTTACACGCCCAATTGTCAAATTGCAATGGAGTTTGACATTGAGACGCGATAAAAATCGTGAATTAATGTAAATTGTGTTGGTCATGCTAACGGGACAGGATATGATATATAACACGTTTTTTACACGCCCAATTGTCAAATTACTATGGAGTTTGACATTTAGACGTGATAAAAATCGTGATATAACGTAAATTGTGTTGGTTATGCTACCGGGACAGGATATGATATATAACCTTATATAACACGTTTTTTACACGCCCAATTGTCAAATTGCAATGGAGTTTGACAGTTAGAGGCGATAAAAAAAGTGATATAATGTAAACTAGCTGACCCGGTAAACTTCGTACCGCCCAAAAAACAAGGCAATAAAATAATATTGCGACTATAAATTGAGATGTAAGCTATCCTATCTTTCAAGTTGGATCAAACTACACACGGTGTGCATATTTGATTAAAATCGTTAAGTACTAAGTAGTTTAGGTGTTCATCCCGGACAAACAATGTGACCTGTATATATAAAATTCTCGTGTCACAATGTTAGTTACCATACTCCTCCGAAACGGCCTGACCGATTTTTATGAAATTTTAAATGCATATTCCGTGGGTCTGAGAATCGGCTACTATCTATTTTTCATATCCTTAAGTGATAATGGTTGTCCACCTGTAACCTAGTGTTCCGAAACCTACAATGCGCTATCGCGCCAAAATTCAATCTATTGGGTATTGTAACGTAGTGTTCTCATATGGGTGCTAGATGGCGCTGCCGGCACGTCTTTATTTATTAAAGTAGTTTAAGAGTGAAAAGTATCGTGTAAATATAACGTACAAATGTTATCTCCAGTAAATACCAAGAAAATCTAGTCTTATATATAAAATTCTTGTGTCACAATGTTAGTAACCATACTCCTCCGAAACGGGTTGACTGATTTTTATGAAATTTTATATGCATGTTGCGTAAGTCTGAGAATCGGCTACTATCTATTTTTCGTACCCCTAAGTGATAAGGGTTGGCCACCCCTATCATTTATTTTTTACCTGACATAATGCCAATGAGCCGGTATGTTCTCTTCAGGCTTGCCGGGGTTCCAGTACATGCTGATGTAATCCAACGGATCGTGGCCGCCTAACCTGTAAAAAAAATAAAAAATATAATAAAGGTGGATATTTATGCTGAGGCAACGCTCGCCTTCTCCTACGGCATCCTGAGAACATTGGGGACACGCTGGGACAGTCCAATGTTGGAACGCTGGGTGCACATATACACTTTTCACCCATGAATAATTTAACTATATATACCTAATGATGTACCTATATATTTCAATTTAATTGCTATTTCTCAATTTAATTGTAATTTCTTTATTTACTAACACTAGGCCTAAGGAACATTATTGTTACTCACACTAGAGATTTTAATATGGAGAATGTACAGTCTCTGAAATAAATGATTATTATTATTATTAAATGTTTCTGTCCTAATTCAGAATTTGGTTATGATTTTGTTTCTGAAGTGTATCTTCAGAATCTTGAGTTTGAATATTTTTGGACAATATCTTACGTGCAGCTAATGCCAAACTCAATGATATTGAAGTTTCTGACTCTGTGCCACACAAGGAGCGTATGAGTTGATTCACTATTCAATAACAAAAAATACTGCTGACTTTCAAACTCTGACTCAGGTTAATACTATAAATTCTGCCATATCTCTTAAGTTAGGAGTCTGAAAGTATATATAAATAGAAGTTTGAAAGCACCTTATTCTAGTGTCAGAAGTTTACAAAATTAAGATAAGGTCTTCAAATACATAAAAGAATTTTTTTAACCATTTTCAGATTTTGCCGCATAATAAAAGTTAAATTCATTTACAATTTTAAATTTTAATAAACTGAAAAATATCTTCGATTAAAGTAGAATTTAATAAACAAATCATCTTATCCATTATTTCTTCGGTAAAAGTGTACTTCCAGGGCCCAAGAGGTGATACTTGAATTTATTTTTTGTAGAAAAGGTCCGTTTTAATATTTTTTTTCTAGCTCTCCGGCGGCTGCTGCCGCAGCACGCTCACTTTGCTTGCTCGGCTCGCGTTATGGTCACAACACTAACCTAACCTAGTGTGAAGTATCACCGCTTGGACCTTGGGAGTACAGTTTGGCCATTCCTTCACCCATACTATCTGAAACTGCATGTTAACAAACCAATATTTGAGTCTGGTTGTCACTTGCAATGGATTTGGCTGGTCCGGATACAGACCGGAATAGGCTTCACATAATGCCTTCAGTCCTGCTGGCACCATTCTGTCTGAAAGAAAAGATTGGCAATTACTATAAAAATATATTCATTAGTCGGAGTGCAGAAAACTTTCTATTTGTGATAAATATAAATAAGGAAAGGTTAGATTGGTGTTTGCGAACAACTGTGATGTAAATTACTCATACCTTCTAATTTCCTTAAATTAGATTTGAGATTGGTAAAACTAATAACTCCTAACTAGCATTAACTTTACTTAAATAATAATAATAATAATAATAATAAAGCCTTTATTTTTCTGTTATACAGGTTTTTCATTTTAACATTTATACATCTTACATACTAACAGATCCCTTTCGGGTATAGGTCTCCTCCAAACTCTTCCATTTTTCTCTGTCCTTGGCAATATTTATCCATTTTGGTCCAGCTATTTCTTTTATATCGTCAGACCATCTTTTCTTTGGTTTTCCCACTCTACGTTTTCCTATTGGCCCTTTCCATGTTGTTGTTCTCAATGTCCACCTCTTATCTTTGTATCTGGCAATGTGTCCAGCCCATTTCCATTTAGATTTCATAGCAAAGTCTAGAGCATCTATGACTTTAGTCTTGCTTCTTATTTCAGTGCTTCGAATTTTATCTATCCTTTTTAGTTTTAGAATGCTCCTCTCCATTGATCTCTGGCATGTTGTTATTTTGTTTTTTACTTTGTTTGTATACACCCAGGTTTGGCTGCCATATGTTAAGCAAGGTAAAAGGTTAGTATCTAGCACTATCTTTTTGAGGTTTAAATTGTAGGGTCCTTTTAAGATCTCTTTTTGTGCCCAAAACTTTCTCCAGGTTATATTTATTCGTCTCTCTACTTCCTCTTCATTGTTGTTTTCTTTAAACGATATTTGTTTCCCTAGATATATATATGAATCAACATAATCTATATTTTGATTGTTTACTATGATTGGTTTCGCAACAGAGTTTGTCATTATTTTTGTTTTGCTTATGTTTATATTAAGGCCGACTTTACTGCTTTCCTGTGCAAATAGGCAGATCATTTCTTCTAGTTCTGTAGCAGAGTCAGCGAAGATAGCAATATCATCGGCAAATCTAATGTGGCTCAAATATTGGTTTTGTATTCTAATTCCTTTGTCTTTCCAATTTAAGTGGCGAAAAATACTTTCAAGCAGGGCTATAAACAACTTGGGTGACAGAGGATCCCCTTGCCTGACACCTCTACCGATTGGGAATTCCTCGCCTTTCCTTTCCAGTTTAACTCTGCTTGTACAGTTGGAGTAAATGTTCTTAATTATATTTATATATTTCTGACTGATTTTACATTCTTCTAATGCCTTCCATATTGATTTATGCGTTATACTATCAAATGCTTTTTCGAAATCAATAAAAGCTATATAGATTGGCCTCTTAAACTCCATGTGTTTTTCTATTATTTGTTCTATGGTTTGGATATGGTTGATAGTGGAGAATCCTGATCTAAACCCCGCTTGTTCGACTGGTTGTAAATTATCTATTTGTGGTGATATCCGACCAAGTATTATTGATGTAAAAAGTTTGTACAAGCTTGAAAGTAGACTGATGGGTCTATAGTTTGAGATATTAAATGGATCATCACCCTTTTTATAAAGTAGGATAATATCTGATTTATACCACTGTTGAGGAATAGTTTCCGTAACAAGGATTAAGTTGAACAAAGTTGTGATGAATGTAAGCAATAGTGGGGCTCCATATTTCAAAGCTTCGTTTTTGATGTTGTCCGGCCCTGGACTTTTTTAGCTTTTTTATATGTTGCAGTGTTTCCTTATCGTTAATTGGGTCTATGGTTAGGTTAGTAATAATTCCTTCGTTTTCTTTTTCATCTTCGCTGTCTATGTCCTCTATTGGTCCTTTATAAAGTTTTGAGTAGAAAGCTGTTGCGCATTTAAGCACATCTTTTCGGGTTTTTGTTTCTTTTTGGTTGTCGTTCAGATTTTTTATCCATGTATTATGTTGTGTTAGTTCTTTAACCGAGCTCTTCATACTTCTATACGTTCTAAGGTTTTTTTCTATGGTTTTCTGTTTGTGGTTATTATAGTCTTTTTTTATCGCCTTGTTAGTTTTTTTGAATAGGTTTCCTAGTTCTTTTTTATCTTTTTTGTCTTTGTTTTATAGAAGACTTTACTTAAATATAAGATTATATTTATCTATATTAAATTGAGATTGCTCTATTATTATCTCATGCCTCTCATTTATTAATAATACCTTCTAATTTCCTTAAATTAGATTTGAGGTTGGTGAAACTAATAACTCCTAACTAGTGCTAACTTGCGAACCTCTAGCCTAAATGTAAAATCAATACCAATATCAAATGTATGTTTCAGCTATATCAACGCACAGCCCAAACCACTGGACGGATTGGGCTGAAATTTGGCATGCAGGTAGATGTTATGACGTAGGCATCCGCTAAGGAAGGATTTTGATCAATTCTACCCCCAAGGGGATAAAATAGAGAATGAAAGTTTGTATGAAACTTTGTCAATTTTAAACCGATCGGGCTGAGACTTTGCATGCAGGTATAAGAAGAATCATAGATGAATGTATAATACAAGCCTGAGAACAAAAACTGTAGTCTACACTTCAGCTCTACAATTACAATACTACATATTCCTTTTTTATAATAAAATTCAAAAATAAAACGATTTTCACCTCCTGCAAAATTTGGTGTTTGAACATCGTCTGCATTGTTGTGTGTCGGGTGTTTTTGCTGGCGAAAAGGATGTGTATAGTGTTTATTACCTTGCCCTACTTGCTCCTTGGAACCGTGTGCTACATCCTGTGTTTGAGAAGCTTCCTGCGCAAGCGCAGCTTCTTGAACGAACGACAGCGCACTATTTCTCACTACACCGGACGAGCCGGCGGCATTGGGCTGATCCATTTTACTTGAAATATCAAAGTAAAAGTTTTGTCTGTTGTGTGGCTCAATTGGCTAATCTTTTAAATTCGATTGAAGGAAGCCTAAAAAAAGGGAAGATGTGTTTAAAAAATTGACATAGATTTGACAGTTATTTTCGTATTTCTGAACGAAACTTTGGGTGTTTCTTTTCTACATTTTCTGACAATAATGGGCCTAAAGCCCGTCACAGACGCAGCTATAATATATATTTCTATGACGTCACCAAAATATGTCGACAGATATATTTTGGCATATTAGTGTATATTTTGCCATATTAATATATATTTTGATATATTTTTATGATACGGGTGTTCCATTTTTCACCGAACGCCTACCAAAATATATATTATAGTACAGTTCCCGTCTGTGGTAGTTTGTTTAATATAATATCTCGATATATTAATATATATTATAGCTACGTCTGTGACGAGATATATTTTGGCATATTAGTATATATTTTTAATACAGAATGTTCAACTTTTCTCTTAACGCCTGCCCGATCTCCGGCTCAAGTGCGCACGAGCATTTCTCTCCCGCCCTCCCTCTCCTAAAAATTGGATGACAAATCACGATACAAATTAAATTCGCCACAAGTTTTCTTTTGTTTTATATGCGACTCTACCCAGATGGTTCTATTTTTCGTTCCTTACAAGGCAACATGCACATATCAAATTCAGCATCGGAATCATCCTCTGAGGAACCTTCAATTAAATCTAAAAGTAGTGCTCTTGTCGAATACATTTCGGTAAGATTGATTATAACGTTATTTCAAAATTAAAACACCCTGTGCTGGAAAATAAGCTTTAAAACCGTGCGCTTGCAAAAACGATCGCAGACCGAGTGAGGGCAAAATATATATTATAGTATAGCTCCCGTCTGTGGTAGTTTGCTATAATATAATATATATTGCGATATATTAATATATATTATGGTGTTAATTCTGGCGTGATTCTCTAAACTTAAAACTAAATTTAAGGTCAGTCTCACCTTTTCATTCTGTATAGAGAAGGACAAGGATGTACTGTTGTCAAATTTAAGTTTAGCTTTAGAGAATCATGCCAGAATCGACATCTATAGCTACGCTATAAAGCCTAAAACATATTTACGTGTCGTGGCGTGCCGTGATCTTGACATGCCAGAAGCACATAGCTTTCATACATTTCGACACGACGGGTTTCATATATACGGATACGGACGTCGGTTTCATACATTTACTATGGTTAGAGAGAGATTTACGCGTTATATTTCTCTCTCACCATATTAAATGTATGAATTTATGAAACCGATGTCACGAGGTCAAGAGATCACGACACGCCACAACAAGTTAATATGTTTCTGCCTTAAAGTACATTAAGAGAATTAGTTTTAAAGAGGAACATCGCCAAGTGGCAGGCATTGCAGTGGTTGGCAATTATCATGCATTTCTGAACAAAAGATTGTTTGCGATCTGTCAGTTAAGTACGTCAATGTCACTGTCACTAATTCGAAGAATTTTGTCGGTGCGGCCGTGATTCTTTTTTCGTTTTACCGACGTTTTACTCTATAAATAAACACAAAAGCCTCCCAGATGTTGTGAATACTGTGGGATTGTTATTTGCCGCGTCAGTCATTATTAATATCTAGCGATTAAAATCAAAAGTGGGCAATAATGCGCTATTACTTTGTGTTAACTATTTTCAGCTGTGTATTTGCTTACGAAAAAGACTTAACTTTCTCTGTCCAAGCTGGGAAAACGGACTGCTTTTATCACAAAGTATTGCCGAACGAAGTAATAGACTTGGAGTATCAGGTACGGCGTCTTTTTCAGAAAAAAATTAAGACATACCTTTCTAACCTGTTCTCAAATATTTTATAGATATATTCCACCAAACTTAAGCCATAGTGCCCAGTTTATTCCTTTTCATGCCTGTAGATTTCCTTATTTAATCATTTTAGAACATCGAAGTAGTTAACGATGAAGCAATTCACACAAAGATATGAGAGTAATTAACAAAGATAGTGAAGATAAAATTCGGCTGATTAAACAATATTTTATCTTCTACTGCTAAGGAATTAGGTGCCTACAGATGTAGATCTTGTTTTTATAATAATTTAAGCATCTCATAATGCTCTGTTTCTCCTCAAATGATGCTTTTTTGTGGTATTTCTGGCTGTTTGAGTAGCAGGTTCCTTGTGGTGTTAACTCGAGCAAAATTTACAGATAATTAATTTCCACATTCATTTAACAGTACCTTTGTTGCCAAAGTGACACTCAAATCGAAACATCCCCTTGCACACAACAGGTTTATCGGAGAATATGATATTTAAACATAATGTGCTAAGCCTTGTATGTGTATAATGTTTGAGATAAAACTACATCTAGAACTGACAAAACAAACAGTTATTATTTTGCTATTTAGTACGTATCTATGCCGCTGTGAAATCATAATGACTAGAGGTTAAGCCTAGTATAAGTATGCTGTGTTAAAGATTGGCTACTTTGAAATTCTGTGTATTTCTTTATTTATTTATTTTAAGGGAAATAACAGCATTAATTTTTACATAAAAAATATAACATTAAGTTTAATCAATTGCTTAGGTAATTTCCACTATTATTTATCTTACCTTGTGTCTAATAAACACAAGAGAAAAAAGAAACAATTTTTGGCATCATAATGAACATAAACAAAACAAAAAGAAATAAAAATGTTGTGCCTAAAACGAGTTACAAATTAGTTTTTTAAATTTCAAAGAATTAAGATTAAATATATCAATGTGACTATATTTAGAGTTGTATGATTTCATAGCTTGCACAATGTAGCGATTACTTGCATAATTAGTCAGACCTGCCGGAATGCAAAACATGTCACATGCTATATTTTTCTTCTCAACATCGGCCCATTTATTGTCCAGAAGCAGTGGTAAGGGCTAAACTGTACTTCCAGGGCCCAAGTGGTGATACTTCACACTTAAAAAAACGAGAAAGTTCTACAAAAAAGTTTGAGTATCACCTCTTGGGCCCTGGAAGTACAGTTTTACCCTTCATCATCAGCCTATTAGTGTCCCCACTGCTGGGGCACAGGCCTTCCCTATGGATGGAATAGGGAGACCCACCACGCGGGCCCAGTGCGGATTGGTGGGTGCTAACGACTGCAGATGCAGCTGGGACCAACAGCTAAACGTGCCTTCCGAAGAAGGAGCTTGAGATAGTAAATTTTTGGTCACCCATCCAATGACCGACCACTGCGAAAGCTTGCTTAACCTCAACGATCGCAGCCGAACGCGCTAACCGCCTGCGCCATCGAGCTCCTCACAGTTTTACCCTTTGGTTAAAGTTAAACTGGGACATGTAAAAGCACTTAATAAAAGCAAGTTTGCAGTAAGTAAATGACTTACAGTAGAAACAGTTTGACCTGGATTAGTTTTAACCAATAGAACAATGTTGACAACTTACATTACACTAATATTATAAAGGCGAAAGTTTGTGAGTGTGTATGTTTATTACTTCTTCACATGTAAATGACTGGAGCGATTTTAATAAAATTTGGAATGGAGTTAGCTGACACCCCGGATTAACACATAGTTTTGCCCGCACCCTTACCAGACTAAATAGGGACAACTTCGCAGGATTATAGGAACCCTGACTGGTCATTGTCCCCTAAACAAACACCTATATACAGTAGGAGTAACAGACAGATGCAGAGGATGCGTGGAGGCAGAAGAAACGCCACAGCATGTCATCATGGAATGCAGGAGCGTGGCCGACCAACGGGCACGACTTCTCCAGTCGCCAGAATCGTTTCTGGAAGATTGCAGCAGTCTACCAAGGCTGCTTTCCTTCTGGACCGATATAGGCTGGCTGGAGTAAACGGGAATGCCTTTGAGACACGCACAATGGACCAATAATTAGGACTAAGTGCGGAAACTGCCATGAAAAATTAACTAACTAACCTTTATACTGTATTTTTAGCAAATAAATATTATGATTTATTCTCAGGTCATTGATGCAACTCATGGGGAGCTGGACATATCATTCCAACTAGCCGATCCAGTGGGGAGAATCATCGTAGCAGACTACAAGAAATCTGAGAATGCTCACCGACACACGGCCGCATTAAACGGAGACTACAGATTCTGCTTTGACAACACATTCAGTACATTTAGTCAAAAGACTGTGAGTTTCTCATAGGGCTATTTATATATTAGTGTAGATCTTTCCTTTTTTTAGATTCAGATTACTCGTTTGCTAGAAATAATAATAAAAATGGGTGCGTGTACTTATGCAGGCGCGTGAGAAGTTATCCTTCTTTGGCATCGTTTAAAATTAGTTTTTAATTGCATGCAAATAATTAATTACAATAAATTAATAAAAAGTCTGGAAAAGGACACAGTCAATAAAGTTCAGTTTTAATTTGAAAAAATAAATAAATAATCAAAATATTCAATTAAAATCGCTACTGAATATAATTTATTAGAACATATGTGATTTGCACTTGTATGAAACTCAAACACGTATTCCGAATATACAAACTAGAAACATGTGGATAAATATTATAAACTAGCGGCCCGCCCTCGCTTCGCTTCGGTGTAGAGCTGAAGTGTAGACTACAGTTTTTGTTCTCAGGCTTGTATTATACACAATGACATTCATCTATGATTCTTCTTATACCTGCATGCAAAGTCTCAGCCCGATCGGTTTAAAATTGATAAAGTTTCATACAAACTTTCATTCCTTATTTTATCCCCTTGGGATTTTCTTTATATTTTTTTCCGTAAGAACCTTGTACAGAGTATTAGAAAACTACAAAAAAAAAACAGCCGAATCGGTCAAGCCGTTTTCATGTTATGTCGTGACAACGGAAAACGGGTTTCATTTTTATATATATAGATATGAAAACAGTCTCTGTTCTAAATTCAAAACTCGTAACTTTTCCCGATGTTTGTTGTACGTGTTTCCCGCGCTAGGACCGCGAGTGACCGCGCATGCGTACGGTGCGGCGGGCGACGCGGTAATGGCAGCGCGGCACATGAAGTTGGTCGCTAAAGCGACCAACTTCATGGTGTTAATTTTTTGTGTTACAGATGCGCGCGCATCTTAAAATTTCACTCTCATAATTTTTTTATAACGCGCCTAAAGAAGTATAACTTCAAAAATAATAAATTTATTTACTTCTTCTTACAACAATTAAGGCACACAAAATGCAGGTTAAGCAACACTTAAGTAATATTATTGGGCGTTGTAAGAAGCTGGTGTCCGAAATAGGCGTTAACCTGTACTACGTATCACCAGGTCCTTACCTCTGGCAAATAATCTCTATACATTGTTCTTCATAACCATAATGAGCCTGTATTACCTAATATTTATTTATTCATGGTAAAAAAAAACCAAAATTTAAGGTTGAGAGATAAAAAACAAAACTGAATGTAAAAATGAAAATGAAAAATGAAAAAATGTTTATTTACTTACATAAAGAATCTCTTATCTATTAGACAAGTCCGTCCGTCCATCTGTCTGTGGTGCTGTTTCAGCGGCCATACCGTAAGAGATAGATAAAGAGAATATTTAAGTTATAAGTTAAGAATAGTCTGATAAGATTACAAACCGGATTTGAGTAACGTAGCACTTCCGGTTTTCGAGAAATCACGAATTTCAAACGAAACCACACAAAATCTCCGAAGTTCTCAATTAATTATATACACTTTTTTTTTAAATCAGGTTTTGGTGAACATTTGGTTCACTGGTTTGATAGTGTTACAATAATAGAGGTTGGATTCCCATTTTAAGTGTAAGAACACTTGTGCCAGGGAAAGCCATTCTCCCATAGCTTGAAGTGGTTATGTAAAAAATTAAGGTACAAAAACCTTTTTAAAAACAAGCTTTTATTCAAATGCGCTAAAAAGAAAAAAAGAAAATTTAGTTAAAGTTTGTTTCTAAATAGATTTTCAAATTTTGGAAGTCCGCCATATTGGATTGAGAGTGACGTCACATTTTTTTCGAGTTACTCTCAGCAAGCCCTTTAATTTGATACCCATATTGTCGGAATGCATTAAAAATGATTGGTCCGCCATTTTGGGTATGCCGCCATATTGGATTTAGAATGACGTCACACTGTTAAGCATGCATTGTCATCCGAACTGAACGAGCATACCATAATTTAAATAAATTTCAGCTTAATCGGTTGAGGGCAAGTGCTTTAAAATTGAGTTGTAAGATTTGACCGTAACAAACATACATAGCATGTTAAATAAAAGCTTGTAATATAGCCAGTGTATAATAAGAATATACAAACATTACTTATGCTAATAGTATGTCGTACTTGTTTACTACAATAATGTGTACTTGCAAACTGTTTATACTATTCAGTGTGGTAAAGTTGAAACTACTTAATTATCAAGCTTTCAGTATCATAACTAAGAGTTCTCAGCCAGTCGGTAAGCAGTTGCTTGTTTTCGAATCGTTTATAAATGCATGGTAGTTAATTTTTTTATTTTTTATTAGCAAAAATTTTACTATAAGTGTTCCATTCTTTGTCAGACTGAAGCATTATTTACCAGAAACGGGAATACAAATTTAATTAAGGAATGTTTTATCAAAAGAATAGTGCTTATCATGAGAAGTATAACAAATAAAGATGACAGTTTTTATATTAAAATCATCGTCAGCCCATTAATGTCACCACTGCATGGGCACAGGCATGGGCCTTCCCTATGGATGGAATAGGCAGATTGGGCCATGACCCACCACACGGGCGCGTTTTGGCGAGTGCTAGAGCAGCCGGTACCAACGGCTTAACGTGCCTTCCGAAGCACGGAGGAACTCGAGATAGAAGATTTTTGGTCACCCATCCAATGACCGACCACTGCGAAAGCCGCGCCATCGAGCTCCTATATACAGACCCGTCTTTCCCTGGGCCCCGCGATCAAAATATCCCCCCCCCCCCCCCCCCCCCCAAGATCAAATACAAAGTCCCTAGTTCATAGGGGCCCCATTATCCTAATATGCCCAGGGCCTCTGATAGGTCAAAGACGGCACTGCCTATATATATTAAAATACTTCGTTACAATATCTTGGTTTCTTTGCAGGTATTTTTCGATCTGATGATAGACACAGAGGAGAATCAGGATAAAGAATATGATGAAGACAAGGAGATGGAGTTTGGTAAGCGTGATTTTAACTCGTAAGGTGCCATTCCGAGACGGGCGACAGAACGCAGTAACTGCAACGACACCACATGTTTCTATGTATCTTTATGAAATTGATTCCGTTCGTGGTGACATTGCATCATCATCATCATCAACAGCCTATCCTAGTCCACTGCTGGACATAGGCCTCTCCAATTGCACGCCACTCAGATCGATTTTGGGCTACTCGCATCCAGCTCCTGCCAGCCACCTTGCGCAATCGTGCCTTAGTACGTCCTACACTATGTTTGCCTAGACGCGGTCTCCACTCCAGAACTCGTCTACCCCAACGGTTATCGGTTCTTCGGCAAATATGGTCAGCCCACTGCCACTTCAGCTTACTAATCCGGTGGGCTATGTCGATAACTCTGGTTCTCTGTCGGATTACCTCATTTCTGATGCGATCCTTCAGAGAAACGCCGAGCATAGCCCTTTCCATAGCGCGCTGAGCGACTTTGAACTTGTGGACCAGCCGTACCGTCAGTGTCCACGTCTCGGCTCCGTATGTCATCACAGATAGGACGCACTGATTGAAGACTTTCGTCTTTAGGCACTGTGGGATCGACGATGTTAGGACTTGACGTAGCTTCCCAAACGTGACACTGCGGTCTTTTTTTATTTGGGACGTAGACAAAACCTCTATTTACAAACGATGGCGCCTTTAAGAGGCACACCGCCGAACGGACCTGGCTCCAGCAAGCTTTACAAGCCCCAGCAGTGGCTGCCCACTGAGGACCCTGTAACTCTTACGGGCACTTTACGGCATAATATCCGCTAAAAAACCCTGCAAATACCCTCTAAGCTGCTTAGTGCGAAACCGATGTGGGTCCCCGTTTAGGGATTCTTCCGTGTCTCCGCACCTAGCAGCCTCCCGGCCTCGCCGGGGCTCCATGGCAGGGCTCTCCCGGGGACCCCGCAGACGTGCGCAGGATGGCCCACGCGTGGGGGCTGAGTACGCGGCCTAGTGCCCACCATACCGCCCCCCGTCCGCTGCGGAGGGCTACTTGGGCGTGCCCGTGTAGCTCCCTCCGCCGCCCCCCCTTTGTAGGACAGAAATACAAGAGGGGGGCTGAACGACACTGCGGCCTGCAACCGCGTCGCGTCGCTTGCGGTAGCGGCGCGTAAGTGTTCTTTCAGAGTAAAGGCGAGTGCGGGTATGAGTCGCGGCACGAAACTCTAGCTTGGACCGTTATTGCGCGCGCGTAAAAAGGTAGATGTGTTTGGGGGGAAGCGAGGTGCGCGGGTGGTTCCTAGCTCTGTAAATCTGCAATTTCAACTAAAATCGTTATGGATCCTCATTGTAGAGGGGGTGAGCCGGCGACATCGGTTCCCGTTCGAACGGTCTATTATCACCAGTGCCGTCTTTCACCTATTGGAGGCCCAGGGCATATTAGGATAATGGGGCCACTATGACTTCCATTTGGTGATTTACCAGGAACTAGGGACTTTGTATTTGATCTGAGGGGGGCCCCTATCGATCGCGGGGCACTGGGCACTTGCCCAAAGTGCCCAATGGGAAAGACGGGTCTGATTATCACCTTCCGAATCTCTTTGTGTGTTCTGTGGGCGACGCAGGCCCTAGCCGCAGTGTCGCATGTGGTTGCAATCTATGTCCTTGTCGTCAGGGCACAACACTGGAGCTAGAGAGCAGTATCACCATGCTCGGTATGGAGATTCGCTGTGACTTAAATCCAAAATTTACATCGAAAGTGTGATAAAACAGCCTCACGCAAACTCGGGAGTCCTGAACAAGGTGCGGCGTTTTTTCACGCCCGAGCAACTATGCTTGTTATATAAGACGCAGGTTCGGTCTTGCGTGGAATATTGCTCGCACCACTGGGATGGCTCCGCCAAGTACTTGCTCGATGCTATGGATAGGTTACAGCGGCGCGCGATCCGCATCATAGGCGATGAGGAGGTGACTAAACACCTCGAGCCTCTTCAATTACGCCGTGACGTGGCGTCACTAAGCGCGTTCTATCGTCTGTACCACGGCGAGTGTTCTGAGGAGTTATTCTCTCTTATTCTACCTTCCCCTTTCCTTCAGAGGACCACGCGCGCTGACCTACGTTGTCACCGTCTAACTGTGGTCACAATTCCAACGCGTACAAAGAAATTTGGTGACTCATTTCTTATCGCACTATCCGTAAATGGAATGCTCTGCCCGCTCACGTGTTCCCTCCCTCTTACAACTTGGGATCCTTTAAAAGAGGCGTGAAGAAGCAACATGCAGGCCGGCAGGGTGAGGATGGCTGGTGTGGCAGGTAGAACTGCTGTATCAGCTATCTTCGCGTCTGGACTTCACTTAACATCAGGTGGGGTGGAGTCATTTGTCGGACCTATCTATAAAAAAAAAAAACTGCGGCCTGTCTCGGAATTGTACCTTACCAGTAAAATTTTACATTTAGCATTAACATAAGTAGAGTCTGTGCGGAAAGAGAATGGGCGTAGCAAAAACGGAACTAACATTAAGATTTTCAGCAATCAAACCCAGCAATCTGTAAAACATCTAAGTTTTGTATTGATACGGATTTGTTTGTTGTTGTGATTTCTTGCGGTTTTTTGTATTTAATCATGTCTAAAAGGGGTAAAACCTTACAAATACGGTAGAAAAGCGCTACAGCGCCCTCCAATCTACTTCCCAGTCTCTTTCCGCACAAACTCTAATATATTTTGATGTGTAATTTTATTATTCCATTCTCGCTTATCACAAGACTTTGTTGGGAAAGGTATGAATTCATTGCGATATTAAATACCCTAGATACAACAACACTAACAAAATTGTGGCCTAAACCTGTCCAAAAGGTACATTGGACGATCTATGGAGCTTCGTAAGATGATCGCGTAGTCAAAAGCAATATGAGGCCTTCGAAAGACTTTTACGGTTTTGGTAGTTTATGGTAGTTAAGTTCAAATAAATAAACTCAAAATTGCAAAAAAGATTTTGAATAAAGTACTTTATTAACTAAATTAACTAATAAATTCATACATAGACACTAAAATTTTAAAAATCTTCCAATGAAATAACCGAACGCTCAATAAAAGTCTTTCGAAGGCAGCTCGACAAAATTAAATTAAAAATCATTATTCTGACGATGCAGACATGAAAAGGCTGCGAAACGTCAATAAATAAATAAAGTTTCGTGCATTAAGCCGTTAAAACTAGTTTTATTTAATGAGTGATGTGCGTGAAAACCTAAAAAACAAATAAATAAATGAAACTAAAGTAAAATTTTACGACTTTTTGCTATATGCGGAAGTATATAGACTCTACGCGCAATTCTGAATGCGCTGTTAGCAATATAACAGGTACGGACCGCGAGGAAAAGAGATGGCTATATAACCGACCCGAAGTTTATAGTAAGTATTAGAACAAAATTTGCTTCAAATGCGTTAAATTAACAAACATTGATGTCGATTCTGGCATGATTCTCTAAACTTAAAACTAAATTTAACATCAGTCTCTCCTTTTCACTCTGTATAGAGAATGACAAGGATACACTGTTTTCAAATTTAAGTTAAGGTTTAGAGAACCACGCCAGAATCGACACCATTGATTAGATACCTGTCGAAAAAACGACACTTTACATATTATAAGTATTTTTTTCGCCTATTTTCGCGGAGCCCTGCCGCATCTTGATTTATCAATGGTCCGCGCGTGACTGCTGTGAACCAAGAAGTGCTTGAGTGGAGTTCAAGCACTTCTTGATTGGGACACATTTTTAGCGCTCGTGGTGTATCTAGGGTATTTAATATCGTTGGTTAATTATTGTCTGTACACTGCGAGACGTAGTATAATGTTGTTTTGTATTTTTGTTCGTATTTATCCAGAGTAGGGCTTGTTTACCGGTTAATTTTCAAACCTAAATCAGTTTCAAGTACATTAGGAGCGTTTTATTTAGGTTTGGCCTTAACCTTAAAAACCCGGTTATCCTAAAGAGCGAAATCAAATAGGTTTTGAATCAATTTAGCGGTTTTTAAAGGGTTTGATTTCGCTCTTTCTGACGGCATCGATAATAAATGAATACCATGGCCCACTAGAAGCTAGCAAACGTGTCAATAAATTCAGTAATCTCTGAGCATTAACAAGTTGTGACTTGATTAGTTCAAGCAAAACAAACTTCAAGCTAAACCGGTTAAGGTTTTAGGTACCGCTTTCATTTCGGACGCGCTCTGAACGAAACGTTTACTAAAAACCGGTATTAACCTTTATTTACCGGTATTTTTGAAACCGGTTTCAAGCCCTGATCCAGAGTTTATCTATTTATTTATTTATCACACAGGAGCTAACTCAGCAGAGAGCTACATGATGCGAATGCGTGATATATCAGAGTCGGTGTCAAGAGTGAGAGATAATGTGTCTACAGCCCGAAGGTTACAGGAACTGCACTCTGCCCACGAGGCTAGGGACAGGAATAGAGCAGAGGAGATGTGTGCCAAGTGAGGAAAAACACTATTATTTGTTAAATTTAAAAAGTTTTTAGTAATAATTTTTATTATTTTAAAGCATGTAATTCCTTGATGTTTAAATCTAAAGAAAATATGACTAGAAAAAAAATTACAGTGCGAAGAGATGGCGCTGCCTTGCAGCTTAAGAATGGCTAGAAAGATTTCGACGCGGTCCCTGAGGGCCGCTGAATAGAATCACCATCAAAAACTTTCATAAAACTAATCTACCATCATTGAACTACTGAAATGTGTATATATTTTTATAATTAGATCATAAATAATTATTTAAGACTCCAAACATCACCCGTAAAATGCAATATATACTAGTGCAAATCTACCTACGCGCCGATCAGTCCGGCGGCAGCGGCGCAATTGCGTTAAAGGGCTCTTAAGAAATAAAAAAATATAACTGTTTAATATAATTTCTTAAATAAACATATACATTGGCAGAGTGATGACGTGGTCGATGGTGCAAATTGTGCTGATGATGACCGTCGGAGCAACTCAAGTATGTAAATAGCTATACATATACAATACTATACACACTAACACACACACACGCACACACATATATACACACACACATATACACACACACACACATATATACACACACACCCATATACACACACACACATATATACACACACACACACGCATACACACATATTTACGTTTTTAAGGAAAAACAAAAAATCTAATTATTGTTATTTTGGCGTTATGATTTTTTAAAAGATTACATTCTGCGTGCATGACATTATTAAATGTACTATTTATTTATGGGAAGTCACTGGTACCTGCCATACAGTTTATACTAGTGCAGATACCAACGCTCCAATTAAAATGTAATTGTTTGTTTAATTAAGTAAAAATAAAAATTTAAATATATATATATATATATATATATTTCATATTATTTCATATTGTTGTACATTATATATATACTAGCAAACCAGTGAACCAAATGTTCACCAAAACCTGATTTCTCGAAAACCGGAAGTGCTACGTTACTCAAATCCGGTTTGTAGTCTTATCAGACTATTCTTAACTTATAACTTAAATATTCTCTTTATCTATCTCTTACGGTTTGGCCGCTGAAACAGCACCACAGACAGACGGACGGACTTGTCTAATAGATAAGAGATATATATATATATATTATGTACAACAATATGAAATGAATAAATTATTATTATTATACACACATACACACACATATATAGTCATAAAGACGCATTTCATTTCTATTTTAATGTAAAATTAGCATTGTTTTCTGGAGGTGAACGTTAATAGTTATAATTGAATAATAAATTAATATTTCCAACACTCACACCAATTAGCCTGGCCCCAAAGTAAGCACTGTAAGGCTTGTGTTATGGGATACTAGGGAAACGGATGGAATACATGTACTATACATATACAAATATAATTATTTAGAAATACATATCAAACATCCATGACTGCAGTAAAAATGCTCGTATTAATCGATTCGAACCTGGGACCTCTGGAGTAGGCGACGACACCTTGAAACCCGGCATACAAACCACTCGGCCACGCAGGTCGTCAATATAATTACGAAGAGCCAAGTGAAGTGCCACATTAAGGTTCAGCTGATTGAAAAAAAAAATGGTTTCAGGTATTCTTTTTGAAAAGCTTATTCGAGGATCGGGGCTCTAGCAGCTACAAGAAGTTAATACCTGGTCTTGGGTCCCAGTGATGACGTCATCACCAGTGCACAGGGTGTTTGAACTGTGTGAAACCAATACTCATATACAGGGTGTTACAATAGCAAATGAAACTATAATAATGTCCTTTAGTGAAAGTGTAAACTATTTATAATTTTGTAGCTCTTACGGGCGTACTCGGAGACGTCAATTAAATTTCAGTAAATAAAACTAGTTTTTTCACGGGTTAATGCACGAAACTTTATTTATTTACTTACGTTTTAAATAAAAAAAGATTCCGACGAAGCAGTCTGTAAAGGCTGCGAAACTTCAATAAATAAATAAAGTTTCGTGCATTAACCCGTGAAAAAACTAGTTTTATTTAATGAGTGATGTGCGTGAAAACCTAAGAAACAAATATTAAATTTCAGTGTTAAGTAATTTAATTTAAATTAATAAACACAATAAAATAATTTTAATTGAAATAAATAAATTAGTTGTTTAAAATTTACCCTATTGGTGGTATAGACTTAAAAGTGACAGCATTATCTTTAATCTTAAAAGTTAATTGACGTTTCTGAGTACGACCGTTAGATTTATACTTTAAAAGTGTTCTTGGGGAATGTACAATTGACAGCATATCAGCAGTTTTTTAGTAGATTTTGAAATTAAATTTAAGTCAGATAAAGCCAAAAGTCAGTAGGAAGAGTTTGGAAAGCTTCTGGAATTGGAAACTTGTTAATTGTAAAGATACTAGAAAGTATTACATTTTCTTTAAAACTTTTGTGTAAGTGAAAGAAGATTTTACACTTTTGCTACTAATGTCCAACTTCAATTTATATATATATATAAAACTCAAAGGCCTGTCATAGTGATCTATCAACGCACAGCCCAAACCACTGGACGGATCTGGCTGAAATTTGGCATGCAGGTAGATGTTATGACGTAGGCATCCGCTAAGAATGGATTTTGATCAATTCTACCCCCAAGGGGATAAAATAGGGAATGAAAAACTTTGTCAATTTTAAACCGATCGGGCTGAGACTGCATGCAGGTATAAGAAGAATCATAGATGAATGTCATTGTGTATAATACAAGCCTGAGAACATAAACTGTAGTCTACACTTCAGCTCTACACCGAAGCGAAGCGAGGGTGGGCCGCTAGTTTCAATATATAAACTGAAAGCTGTATTGAATCGAAGGATGATCAACAAACAATAAATATTAGTTATACAAATGAAAGCTCAGCGAAACAAAACGCACACATTTGTATGATATGTGATTTGTTTTAGGGTGAAGCCAAACGAGCGTAATTTTGTGAGTTGTGAGTCGCTTATTTTCGGTCACTTATTTTACGTTCAACTGAATTTCTGTTGAGCTGCCATACGAACGTAATTTATTCAGTTACTATTGAGCGTTAGTACGGGGTGTTCGTGTCGTCGAGTGCAATGGATCCATTAAAAATATTGTGTATTTACGAAGCATATTCAGAAGATGAGGCCTGAAAAAGAAACTGGGTAAACCCACTGAATAGTCAGAGGCTGATATGTGGACAGTTCCATACTTTATATGAACGTTTATGTGCAAATCCAGATATGTTTGAAAAGTACTATCATATGCCATTACATGTTTTTCAAGAATTATTACACCACGTAAAACTTGTAACAAACTGTTGCTTCCCTACTCCCCTTCCTTGCCCTACCCTTACCCCGACCGAAATTCGGACGAGCTTATACGCATTGAGTCGGCAGACAACTCATTTTGCGTTGTCGTGTGGCACCAACTGCCTTTTTGTATGAAACCGAATGCAGCAGAATTTCTGCGACCGAAATTCTGCGACTCACAACTTACAAAATTACGCTCGTTTGGCCTCACCCTTAATATTAGCTTTCGCACTCCCATGAGAAAGTTTTTTGAGAATCCTACCGGATCCTAAATTTTTTCGGGATGATAAGTAAGTAATCTGGCTCAGATTTAGGGGCTGCATACCTCTAGATCCAGACCTGACGCGAGTTTTTTTTTACAACATTCACACCAATAGGGTATTTGACAGTAATAAAAATAAAGTGCCATATGTTAGCATCAGTGTTTAGAATGAATATTGGCAGTGGTTTTTACTATTTTTACAAACAAAATATTCATAATTTTACTAAAAACCCACGAAAAAGATAATAGTTTTCTTATCTATTGTCACGTGACCCAAAACGCTTGGGATTGGCGGAGCCTAAAATAACGCCACACGCAAGTAAACTTCCGGTTAAAGTGACATTACATTGTATCGTTTGACGTTTTAATTACAGTCGTGTGACGTCACACACTAGTAAGGCGCCATATTGTTCAGAAAAACGTTCTCGCGGCAACTTGAAAATGTAGTTTTTGATTTGGTTGTTATTACTGAAATAAACAACAGAATGATGAATATCCTTTTTACGGACTCCGTAAACATTAGTCAATAACGTGAGATCGTTTTCTAAAACTTGTCAAATACCCTATTAGTCTAGCCCCAAAGTAAGCACTGTAGGCTTGTACTAGTACTAGTTACCCTAGGGTAACTGATAGAATATATATACTGATACATATATATTTATATAGAAGTACATAGTGTACATTCATGACTGGGGTACAAACGCTCGCTTTCATCACAAAACATCTGCCCCTACCGGGATTCGAACCCGGGAAACGTTGAAACTAGGCGCTTGGCTTTTTTTAGAAAACGTCATTACTGTGGACGCTAGATAAAATTTATGATTTTATAAACTTGCACAAAAACTTATAAAAAAAGTAAGGATATTTTAAAAGTATACCTAAAGTATTTTTCCAAAATGTAATAGAATATTTGAAAGAAAGAATATTTGAAAAATAACATGAGTGTTATTTTTTTATGTATGAATGAAATTATAGGTAGACATGAGCATTATACTTATTTTTTATTTATTTGAATGGGAAAACTTACAGCTATACATACAAAATTTGCTTTAAAAAATTTAACAACTTTAATCCATTAACAAGTTTTCACTTATAAATATGAAGAACTTTTAGAGATTGGAAATAAAATTTTACAAGTTGAGAAAAATTTAGACAAAAAGAAAAATGAAATTCAAAAATTCACAAAAAAAAATTAACAGTCATCAACCGCCTGATAGCTGCAGGTTTCAAATTAAATATGTCGATTGAAGAATATTCATATATACAAACATACATACACCAATAATAGCTAAACAATGTACAAAGAAAACTGAAATTAAGTCATATTTTATATACACCATATATTTATTTCAAATACTTATTTATGTTACAAAAAATATTTTATTCTGTTGTCAGTTTGAGTTCTTAGAAAAAGGGCTTACATTAATATCAATAGACTAATAGGATACAATCATCTTCATCATCATCATCAGCCTATTAATGTCTCCACTGTTGGGGCACAGGCCTTCCCTATGGATGAAATAGGGAGATTGGGCCGTGACACACCACGCGGGCCCAGTGCGGATTGGCGGGTGTTAACGACTGCAGATGCAGCCGGGACCAACGGCTCAACGTGCCTTCCGAAGCACAGAGTAATTCGACATAGAAGATTTTTGGTCACCCATCCAATGACCGACCTCTGTAAGTTGCTTAACTTCAACGATCGCAGTCGAACGCGCTAACCGCCTGCGCCATCGAGTTCCTTCGATCCTTATTTTATACATTTATGAATAAACATTAACAATATGTGAACCGACTGGAATCACATTACCCGAAATCCTTGTCTCTCACCGTCCTACATACATACAGACAAGCACACAAGCACGCACACACACACACACACAGTATAAAGTATACTTTATTGTACTGACGGCTGATTTGGACAATCCTTGGGTTACACATTACTAAATGAAAGTCATTTGTGATAATAACTTTTAAATTAACTAGGTATATTATGTTTACCAAAGCCCACTTTTTTTGTAAATTATTAAGATGAATGAATTCTTGCACAAATACAATGTTAGTTGTATCTAGTTTAATAAGTTCTAGAGAGATTAAATTTTTTATTGAACTTTTGTTGTAGTTTTTTTTATTTGTGAGTAGCCTACCACCAGACATTGCCCAATAAAAATAATTGGGAGATCTTAAAACTCGACTACAGAGCCACCTAATGGTTTCAGATGTGAAATCTACCCCTTTTTTACCCCGAGCATCGCTAGGGGTAGAAGAGTGTAGCGCTAGCTTAAAAGAAAGAACGGAAAGGTAGAATTTCTAATTTAACCGCGCCAATAAAGAAACGAATCTAAAATGGCGGCGGCGATCATCCGCTCTCACTCTAAACTATTGCTGTCTTTAGTCGCACACGGCGCGTACTGCATGCAAAAAAATATCAGTTCTGACTTTGTTTTCGCACTGTCTCGACATTACCTAAGAAACAATTTTTTCTTTTTATTTGTTGACCCTACCATCTGTCAGTGCAGGTACATAGACGCCATTTTCGATTCGTTTATTGGCGCGGCTTATAGAAAAAAACTAAGCTACGAAAGGAACGAAATATGGCACAAAAAGAGACAACGAGGAACCCACTCGAATGAATAGGTGGAGGAAAACCGGGAGACTTGCCAAATTACGGTTAGAGACATTTATTTTCTCAAAAGAATTTACAAAAAAGATATGTATAGAATACAAAGCATAATTAACAAAAACAAATCATTACATCGTGTCGACTAACAATTCAAAAATGTAGGTAGATTAACAAACAGGAACAACAATGTCAGTCTCTGCGCATGCGAACAGCGGAGACACATAAAAGCAATGACACAGTGTGGGACGTTGCGGTGCGACGTGCGACTAATCTTACATAGAAATGTATAATAAAAAAAAATACGTATCATTTTATCTTACACAGATCAAATATATATATATATATATATACTAGCTGACTCGGCGAACTTCGTACCGCCCAAAAGTAATAATTTACAATAAAATAAAATTGCGACTATAATTTGAGATTTAAACTATCCTATCTCTCAAGTTGGATCGAACTGCACATGGTGTGCGAATTTTATTATAATCGGTTCAGTGGTTTAGGAGTCCATTGAGGACAAACATTGTGACACGAGATTTATATATATTAAGATATATATATATATATATATTATCATATCTATGTATATATGTTTTGTAAATTCTAGGTTAAGTTCGTCTTAGTAATACAGGAAACTTACGTTATTACTAAATGTTTTTTTGTTACT